GGGCCCCTGAGGGGCCCCTGAGGGGCCCCTCAGCATTTCCTCAGGGGCCCCCTGAGGCCTCTACAGACCCAAGGGGCCCCCCAAAGGCCACATACTCCACAGGGGGCCCCCTTAGGGGACCCCAGAAGCAAAGGCCCCCACGGGGGGCCCCCAAACGCAAGGGGCCCCCAGGGGGCCCCAGGGGCCCCCTGCGGGACCCCAGGGGCCCCCAAGTTTTAGGGGGCCCCCTATGCATGCATGGAGTTTGGCTTTTAGGGTTTAGTTCACCTGTGATGCAAACCCGGTCTCCTGGGCTGCACTGGCCAACGAGAAAGCCGGTGAGCTGCAGCGCCACCGCAAACCCTAAACCCTAAACCCTAAACCCTAAACCCTAAACCCTACACGACTGGCTTGTGGCTCGTGGCGCTAAACCTAAACCCTAAACCCTAAACCCTAAACCTTACGCGCAGCGCAGGGGAACTCGCGCTGAGCCACTTCAAGGTTGACGGCCAACACCTTAGGGTTTAGGGTTTAGGGTTTAGGGTTTAGCAACCTCGCAGTCGATGGTGGCCGGGGGCCTTATTCCCCCGGGTAAGGGCCTCCCTTGTTCTTCTTGGGGGCCCTCTGCTGTTGCTTCTGCACTTTGCGTTGTTGCTTCCTGCAGCCTGCAGACCCCAAACCCTAAACCCTAAACCCTAAACCCTTAACCCTTAACCCTTCACCCTAATCCCTAAATCTTAAACCCTGGTTGTGAGTCGCTTTGGCCCGCAGTTCCAGCAGCCACAGCAGCACCAGCAGCAGCCCTTGAAACAGCATCAACAGCATCAGCACGAACAGGCCAGCAGCAGCAGCAGCAGCAGCAGCAGCAGCAATTTGATGCCTTGCCTGATGCGCTGTACGTCCACCGCAGTTGCCAGTCTCCGCAAGGGGACAAAAAATCGCGAAGGACAGCGGCTGCGGGGGCACACTTGTGGGGGGTCATAGCTGCAGCGGCAGCAGCAGCAGCAGCAGCACGAGAAGCAGCAGCAGCAAGAGGAGCAGCAGCAGCAAAAGAAGCAGCAGCAGCAAGAGGAGCAGCAGTGGTTAGGTCTGAGCGCTGTCACCTTGCCCCGACGTGTCGGCAGCAACTGCCTTGGCCGTAGCAGCAAAGTTTGCAGCAGCAGCAGCAGCAGCAAGAGGACTAGCAGCAGCAGCAGCAGCAGTGGCAGCACTAGCTGCAGCAAGTCGTGTTTTGAAAAGGCCTCAGCAGCAACTGCAGCAGCAGCAGCAGCAGCATCACTACCAGCCCCACCACCCGCAGCGTGGCCGTCAGCAGCAGCAGCAGCAGCAGCAGCAGCACACAGGATACGCAGCTGCTTCTGCTGCTGTTTCTGCTGCAGCGGCCTCGCTTCTGCCGCCGCCGCCGCCGCCGGTGCCGCCGCTGCTGCTGCTGCTGCTGCTG